GGAAGTCCCCTTGGCCCCCTACTTTTCCTTTTATACATCAGTGACTTCCAAATGTATTGCAACAACTTAGACCTGTTCTCTTTGTTGACAACACTACTTTTGTCATCTCCCACCCAAATCCAGCATCACTCAACAACGTTTTTGATGAAGAAAAATATCAACCCAGATGACTACCAATAAACTTACATTTAACATTGACAAAACCTTCTACATTATGCAGGTAATGTCCAGCTAAACATTATGATTAACAATACTCTTATTGCTAAACATAATAAGGGAAAATTTCTGAGCCTGCACATTGACAGCAACTTGAAATTCAACACCATGTCCAACACACAAAAAAAAGTGTCCAAAACAGTTGGCATCCTCTCCAAGGTACGATATTATGGAACACAATCACCACTACTTATATTATACTATTCACTGATGTACTCATACCTCACCTATGCTATTTGTGCTTGGGGATCTACAACAGCAAATCACCTAAGCCAATAATAACTCAACAAAAAGCCGCAGTACAAATGATCACACAGACAACACACCTCCCCACTCTTCAGAGAACTAAATCTACTCATTATACAAAACATTCACTGTTACTACTGTGCATCCTCCATTTATAGAACATTAAATTCTAATATTAATCCCTACCTGAAGCACTTTATAGTTGCAACAGGCCCATAAACATAATACTAGGCACAAAAATCTGTATGACATACCCCTTGTCTGGCTAAATCTCTCTGAAAATTCACTGTACATAAAAGGACCCAAAATCTGGAACTCTCTGCTGGAAATCTCCAGAGCCATTGTCTAAGCTGGCATCTTCAAAACTATCATTAAAAAACACCTTCTCTCCCTAACATATCCCAACATCAGTTGAATATGTGAAAACTATACATGTATCCATATTCTCATTGTCACTAACATATGGAAATCAATATAATCTTGTTCTTAATACAGTGGACCCTTGGTTATTGGCCATTCTGGATATCAGCCAATTCGGATTCCAGCCGCTTTTTTGACCAAAATTCCATCCCGGTTTTTAGCCGTTATTTCAGCGATCGGCCGTATTGGACGCCTGATAATAATAACTCTTGGGCACATTAAATGTCTTATTTTAGGTTATAGACATTTTCATTAATCCATCTATGATATTTTATTCAAAATTATACAGTGGACCCCCGCATAACGATGGCATCACATAGCGATTTTTCCGCATACCGATTACTTTTATCGCAAAATTTTTGCCGCGCATACCGATTAAAAACCCGCTTACCGATTTTCGTCCGAGACGCGTCCAATGTGCCCTCACATGTGCCGGCCGTCCCATTGTTTACCAGCCAGCCTCCGCGGTAACATCCAAGCATACACTCGGAATATTTCGTATTATTACAGTGTTTTCGGTGCTGTTTCTGGAAAATAAGTGACCATGGGCCCAAGAAAGCTTCTAGTGCCACCCTGTGGTAAAAAGGGTGAGAATTAGTATGGAAATTAAGAAAGATTTTGAAGGGTTTGGGGCTAACCCTGAGAAGCCTATGCCCGTTGTGGAATCCATTGTGCCTACTTCAAAGATTAAGGAAATGTGTGCACAGTGGGTTGAACTGCAAACCTTTTTAAAATGAAAATCACCCTGACACAGCTGTTGCAAGCCGTGCTGTGACTTTTTCAATGACCAATGTTATGGCCCATTTTAGGAAAGTCTTGAAGGAACGGGAGGTACAGAGCTCTATGGACAGATTTGTTGTGCGACAGAGGTCCAGTGACTTCTCAAGCTGGTCCTAGTGGCATTAAAAGAAGAAGGGAAGTAACCCCAGAAAAGGACTTGCTACCTCAAGTCCTAATGGAAGGGGATTCCCCTTCTAAACAGTAAGAAGATAATGCTCTCCCCTCCTCCATCCTATCAATCATCACCAGATCTTCAATAAAAGTAAGTGTCATGTAATTGTGCATGCCTTTTTCAGTTTGTGTGTATTAAAATTAACATTTCATGTGGTAAAAAAAAATTTTTTTCATACTTTTGGGCGTCTTGCACGGATTAATTTTATTTCCATTATTTCTTATGGGGAAAATTCATTCGCATAACGATTATTTCGCATAACGATGAGCCCTCTTGCACGGATTAAAATCGTTAACCGGGGGTCCACTGTATAAGAAGAATGTTACATAGTACATATATAAAAACATGCAATGTTTATATGCAATGTATGGTTAATAATAATCACTCTTGGGCACATTAACCCTTAAACGGTCCAAACAGATCAATGTTCAGATTTGTAGTGCTACAAAAGTAGATCTACTTTTTTTTACATATTATCAAATACGTATAACCAAAAAAAATGTAGATAAAAGTTTTTTTTTACACATTTTCACATGTAAAACAAAAAAAAAAGATCTACATTTTTTTACACACTTTCAGATGTTGAAAAAACGTATATATACGTTTGGACCATTTAAGGGTTAAATGTCTTATTTTAGATTAATGTAGTCATTTTCACTAATCCATCTATGATATTTTCTTCAAAATTATTTAAGAAACACATTACATAGCATATAGCATTTAAATATGCAATGTTTATATGCTGTCGAGTGGTGAGTACCGGCGAAACGAGGAGGAGGGAGGGAGGAGGGTAAACATTACATTTTCTCTGATTCAGCGTTAGAGAAAACTGTGAATCTGGCATCTGGTCCAGTCACCACCCTTCATAAGTGTTTGTTTACAATTCTCAGCATGAATTATTCATTACTTCTCCCTTTGTTTATGATGCCATCTAAAGGCAGTATGTAGTTAGAAATAATTAAACTCGGTGAACATGGTATGCCGATGTAATAATATGGCTGTGTAGTGTAGCCCAGGGGGGGGGCCTACATACGTGTACCTACATATACCGGCTACCTGCACTGAATTCCTACAAATAAATACTCACCTCTCACCCTACATTAAGACTACAAATATTTTAAGACAACTAGCGAATGTAATGTGGCAGTAAAAGACAAAGAAGGGGAGTAACCCTAGATAGGGCTTTGATACCTGAAGTCCTTATGGAAGGGGATTCCCAACTTTCTCTCGCCTTCAATATGCCAACAAGAGTCTTCAGTAAAAGTGTATAATGTTCATTTATCATTAAAATTGTTTTGTGTATGTAAAACTATAATTATTCTCTATAAAATGTATTTTTTGTTAATACTTTTGGGTGTCTGAAACAGATTAATTGGGTTTACATTATTACTCATGGGAAATATTATTTCGGCTTTCGGCCTTTTCGGATTTAGGCCGACCTTCTGGAACGGATTACGGCCGATAACTGAGGGTCCACTGTATCTCTAATCCTCACAATCATTAAAATATTGAATGTGTTCACATTGTTAATATGCTGTGTCTAGTTTTAAGTAGTGTGTAAGCATCAGTATTAAGCTGCACAAAATGATCAGGCATGTTAATGGTTTCCTTTGTATTTTACAATATTTTATAACATGTAAATCACACATTGTATATTATACAAAGAAATAAAAATTTAATTCAGTTTAACTCTTTCAGGGTCCAAACCGTAGATCTACGCCGTGAGCTCAGCTCACTCTGATAAGCTGTGATTGGTAAATTTGGGCCTAGATATGAGAGAATATGTCTGTGTGGTATGTGTGCACCACATAAAACAAATCCTGCAGCACACAGTGTATAATGAGAGAAAAAAAATTGAGACCGTGATTTTCGATTAAAACAGCGACTCTGCAGTGTTTTTTCGTATGTTTTTGTAGTTGTATTTGCGATTTCTTGGTCTCATTTGATAGAATGGAAGGCATATTACAGAAATAGAGATGATTTTGATTGGTTTTTAGCACTGGAAATGGCTTGAAACTGAGCTCAAAGTAGCAGAAATGTTAAATTTTTGCCTATATTCAAGAGTAAACAAACAACCTCACACGTCTAATACATGCCAGCTGGTGGGTCTAATATACATTCACAAATGTGGTGATGATATTTATACAATTATTACAGTATTGCATAACAGTAAATCTCCTATTTTTTTGTTTGAATAAAAATTCATTATATGAATAAAAAATCAAAATGGAATTCATTTGTAAAGCCTCAAAATGTAACTAATGAACAGAAGAAATGTTAGTTTAGTGCCAGGAATACCTGCATTGTTTATTCTGGGCCCTATTTTGAAATTGAAATATTTGAACTTTGTGTTAAATTGGCCAAATTACCAATTTCCGATCACTTTATTTTGTAGTTTAAACAGTTGACTTGACGATTTCTTGTGCTCAGTCGATAGAATAGAAGTATACTAGTGGAATAGCTAAGAATTTGGTCGACTGGAATAATGTAATTGGCCTAAAATGGGAGTCAAAGTTGGCAAAATCGCCAATTCGTAAACATCGCTGACACATCAAAATTTGTGAGAGCATAATTTCGTCAATTTTCCATCAAATTTCGTACTTTTTGTTTTATTACCTTCAGAAAAAGATTCTCAACCATTTCATAAGAAAAAATAACAAAATTTTTTTTTTTAAATTCTTGGACCCTGGTGCACATTTTGAAATTTGGCCTCTGGACCTTGAAAGGGTTAATGTAAATCCTTCTCTCATGGCTTTGGGAAAAATTGGGCTAATATAATTTAAGAGTTTTCATCTTGGGTCTGGCAGTGATGTATCAATTTACCCTGAAAGATAGTGGATAATGATACAGTATGACAAATACAATATTGAGTACTCAAGCAACTAATTTTCAAGTATTGAACGCTTCTGTCTAACAAGTTCCAAAAGCCTGAAGTAAATTTACATCAGAAATATAATGCCAGAATTGCAGAGTGCTATATATATTTCAATGAGATTTAACCAAAGTATATTTTAATTTTGAAAATGAAAATTTTTTATAGGGTTAGCAATTCTTGCCTTGCTTTTTATAAGTGCACATCACTGCTAGATAGATATATTTTGTTTGCATTGCTTCTCTTCCTGAAAAGATTGATATCAGCCTTTAATATTGCATTTTTTATTTTCAGTTGCTTAGAAAAAAGGAAGCCCCACTCATGTTAGCAGCATCGGATGAGCATCAAGCATCATTATGGCTACAGTCTTTCTTGACAATTATTAACAGTGGGGTAAGACTTGTCATTACATTTTTGTATTTGTACTAATTTGTAGCTGCAAAACCAGAATTAAGCATCTGGTGTCCCATCTTCCTTTTTTAAATGTATTGTAAAGTTTTTTAAATTTCTAGTATTAATAGTATAAATTATTTTCACATGCATCACATTTAGCACAGTAACCCAGATGAGCAGCCATATAGGTGATGTGTGTTCACTGAAGATACTTTCTGATGTAGTGGATTGTAATCTCAGAGAGAGAGCACAGTCAAGAATATTGAAATAACTGAAGAGGAAGTAAGGAAATTATTACTGGATGCTGACAAGAAAAAAAAGGAATAGAGTTAGATAGAATAACACCATGGATTTTAATATGATGCAGAAGAGTTATGCTATCCTTTTTTGAAAATTGTGGAGCAAGCCACCTGTGCCTACTTTTTGTCCTCTTCAATTTTTCACTGGCTGAGTTCTTGCTGGTAAGGTAGACCTTAAACTAAGATACCATGTATGGTAGACAGGGACAGACTATTGGGGAGGCAAGAAACAGGTCCAAACCATAGTTCTACATCATGAGCTCAGCTTATTTAGATAAGCTGTGAACGGTAAATTTGGGCCTAGATATGAGAGAATGCATCTGTATGGTAAGTGTGCACCATATAAAACAAATCCTGCAGCATGCAGTGCATAATGAGAAAAAATGTTACTGTGTTATTGGATTTACCCCTTGACTGTCGAAACCACAAATCCTGAGGTGTCTCCTGGTGTCAAAGAATTTTCGAAAAAAAAAAATTCTTACGAATAGAGAATCTTTTTCCAATGGTAATGACACCAAAAGAACGAAATTTGATGGAAAACTTATGGAATTACACTCTCACGAAGTTTGCGACCTCGGCGATATTTATGAATCGGCGATTTCGCCCACTTTGAGCCCTATTTTTGGCTAATTCCATTGTTCCAGACGACCAAACTCATAGCTATTTCTTTAGAACTCCATTTGTTCTATCGATTGAGTACAAGAAACTGGCCATTTTTCCATTTCAACTACCCAATAACGTGGTCAGAAATTTGCAATTTGGCCAATTTCATGCAAATTAAAAAAAAATGCCAATTTCAAAATAGGGTCCTGAATGAACAATACAGACATTTCTGGCTCTAAAATAACATTTTCTTTGTTCATCAATCACATCTCCAGGCCTCTCTGATATTAGGCTTGCTTTCTATTTTGAATTTTTATTCAAACAGAAAATAGAAGATTTACTGTTATGCAGACTACTGCAATATTGTAATAATTGTATAAATAATGTCAACCCATTCATGACTGCATATTAGAATGGCTACTTGGACATTTATTGGACAATGACATCATTTGTTTACTTTTGAACATCAGCAAAAATCACACATTTCCCCTACTTTGAGCTCCATTTCAAGGTTCTTTTAATAGTAAAACCAATCAAAATCACCTCTATTTCTATAATATGTTTTCCATTCTATCAAATGAGACCAAGAAAATGAGAATACAACCATAAATACTATACGAAAATACACCACAAAGTCGGTGTTTTAATCCAAAAAAACAGTCGTTTTTTTTTTTTTCTCATTAATCACTGCTTGCTGTAGGATTTTTTTATATGGTGCACACTGACCACACAGACCCATTCTTTCACATATGGGCCTACCAGCTTTCTCCTGCTTGATTTGAAGCCGCTAGAATTTTTGTGTTACATGTACGTGTACATCAAACATGGTGGCTCGTAAGACATATACGACCGAAACAGTCAAAGGGTTAAAACACCGACTTTTGCAGTGTATTTTCGTATGGGTTTTATGGTTCTATTTGTAGTTTCTTGGTCTCATTTGATAAAATGGCAGATATATTACAGAAATAGAGATGATTTTGATTGGTTTTAGTAGTGAAAATAGCTTGAAATTGAGCTCCAAGTAGGGAAAATGGTCAATTTTTGTCGATGTTCAAGAGTAAGCAAATGACATCACACATCCAGTACACGTCAACTGGCAGGTCTAATGTATGTTCACAAATGCACTGATATTATTTATACAATTATTACAATATTGCATAACAGTAAATCTTCTATTTTTTTGGTGTGAATAAAAATTCTTTGCGAATAAAAAATCAAAATGGAATTCATCTGTAAAGCCTGGAAACATAACTAATAAACAGAGGAAATGTTATTTTAGTGCCAGGAATCCCTGCACTGTTTATTCTGGACCCTGTTTTGAACTTTGTGTGAAATTGGCCAAATTACCAATTTCTGATCACTTTATTGGGTAGTTGAAATAGTTGATTGGGTGATTTCTTGTGCTCACTAGGTAAAATGGAACACATACTAGCGAAATAGCTAAGAATTTGGTCTAGTGCAACAATGTAATTGGCCAAAAATAGGACTCAAAGTGGGCAATATCGGCAATGTGTAAATGTTGCTGACACGGTAAAATTCACGATAGTGTAATTTCGTCAATTTCCCATCAAATTTCATACTTTTTGTTTTATTAACTTCAGAAAAAGATTCTCTACCAGTGGTTTATAAGTGAAATGTTCTCAGTGAAGAAGTGGTGGAGGAAGGCTTCATAAATAGTTTAACCCTTTGACTGTCGCGGCCGTATATATACGTTTACGAGGTACCGTGTTTGACGTATATATACTCATAAATTCTAGCGGCTTCAAATCAGGCAGGAGAAAGCTGGTAGGCCCACATGTGAGAGAATGGGTCTGTGTGGTCAGTGTGCACCATATAAAAAAAATCCTGGAGCACGCAGTGCATAATGAGAAAAAAAAACTCCGACCGTTTTTTTTTTAATTAAAGTGCCGACTTTGTGGTCTATTTTCGTATAGTATTTGTGGTTGTATTCTCGTTTTCTTGATCTCATTTGATAGAATGGAAACTATATTATAGAAATAGAGGTGATTTTGATTAATTTTACTATAAAAAGAACCTGGAAATGGAGCACAAAGTACGGGAAATGTTTGATTTTTGCCGATGTTCAAAAGTAAACAGATGATGTCATTGCCCAATAAATGTCCAAATAGCCATTCTAATATGCAGTCATGAATGGGTTGATGTACGTTTTACAATTATTACAGTATTGTAGTAGTCTGCATAATAGTAAATCTTCTATTTTTTGTTTGAATAAAATTTCAAAATAAAAAGCAAGAGTAATATCACAGGGGCCTGGAGACATGACTGATGAGCAAAGAAAATGTTATTTTAGAGCCAGGAATGTCTGCATTGTTCATTCTGGTCCTTATTTTGAAATTGTCATATTTTTTTAATTTTCGTGAAATTGGCCAAATTGCAAATTTCTGACCATGTTATTGGGTAGTTGAAATCGGTAAATGGGCAGTTTCTTGTACTCAATCGATGGAAAAAATGGAGTTCTGAAGAAATAGCTATGAGTTTGGTTGACTGGAATAATGGAATTAGCCAAAAATAGGGCTCAAAGTGGGCGAAATCGCCGATTTGTAAATATCGCCGAGGTCGCCAACTTCGCGAGAGTGTAATTCCGTCAGTTTTCCATAAAATTTCGGTTTTTTGGTGTCTTTGCAATCGGGAAAAGATTCTCTATCATTTCATAGATTTTTTTTTTTTTTTTTTTTTTTTTTTTTTTTTTTTTTTTTTTTTTTTTTTTTTTTTTTAAATTTTGCGACACCAGGAGACACCTCAGGATTGGGGGTTGCGACAGTCAAAGGGTTAAAGTGCAGGTATGATGAGGCTAGGGGGGGGAGTGAATGTGGCAAGCATCAAGTCGACAGGTAGGGCCAGGGGCTAAGATGCAACCCCTGCAACCACATATGGGCTAGTACATATAGGCGAGTACTGGACGTTAGTAGTAGTTTGCAAGAGTTTCTTATTTTAATTGTTCTAGGAACAGAATGAACAGACATGAAATCCTGCAGGAGTGCAAAACATTAGCAGATGGTAGTATCTGCCCAAGAGTTGCTGTCTGTGCATCAACCTACCTGTAAGTCATTATTTGAATTAAAAACACTGTTGGGCCAATCACAATTGTGGCACTCCTTTCATGATATTTTCCCATGATTATTTTTTTCTCATACTACTAGGTACCTCTTCAAACAAAATCTTTCATTCACTGTGATAATTAGCCTTTTATTCTTCCTGTTTTTTGTAGTTTTCAGGGAAGTTTGTAATGAGAACTGTGTTAAAAGCTTGAATAAAGCCTAAACACCTGTACTGTAATGCAGTTTGCCCATTCATTTGTTTCTTGATTTCTTATTTTTAATACTGGCTGTCACCCACCAAGGCAAAGTGAATGCATTTTTTATTATTATTATTATTATTATTATTATTATCCTACGGTGATGGAAGACAGCCAGTGAGCTTAAAAAAATTTTGATCACAATCTCAACCATGTGATATTTGAAAGGTTTTGCTTCATGTGTTTAATCAATTTTTTTCTCAGATGCATGTGACTATTTGTTGTACAGAGTATTTATATTTTACAGATACGAGATATCAGTGAGAGGACACAGGTACCTTGCCGTGTAGTACTTCTGGAGTCTGGGGTACTGTTAGCACAGCAATCAGACCTTATCCTTGGCGCTCCCTCAGAATCGACACATCAGAACAGTCATGATATTAAATCCTCATCTGCTGTTCACCATTCCCAGCAGTTGCTTGGAACTTCTCCTGAAACACCTTCTATTCAAAATCAATCTCATTTTGAGAAAAAGGACTCGGAAAAACCATTAAATTTAACTGTGGCAAACCTTAAGGATCGAAAACCTCTTAGTTCCTCCCTAACTGCTCTTAACCGCATCAGTAGTTCATCATCTCTACTTAATAGTCCAAGGAAACGCCTCAACACTGGAGAAAGAAGTTCAACTCCTCTACGTAACCTTTACCGACGCCAGAGCAGCCTCTCCAGATTATCTACGTGTAGAATTTCTGATATGAAACCGGATCTTCAAAACACAGAAGAAAAAAGTTCATGTGCTCCTCAAAAGGTATCAGCACCACTGAGGACACACAGAGTGGAAACTACTGAGACATCCCAACTGAAATATGGATTTATACCTAAGGGTGAAGTCAAGGTTTTAACATTTAGTACCTTAGAACATCTCTCTTCAGTATACTTATATGCTGAGTGCCCCAACACATGTCTCATGGTACGTAATACTATTTTTGCAGTATTGTTGTGTACTATGTAAGTGTATACTAAGTAAACAGTAGTATCATTTCAGCTCTGTGAAATAACTACTTCATATGAAGCCTTATTATATTTTTAAACTCCTTATATTATCTTTATATTACAGTACTTTACTTGTACTTTATTGCTTTTTCCCACAGTAAAGATTAAAAGCGCAATACAAAAGATCCTTCATACATACATACACACAATAAAGAAATAAAGACTTCCAGTTTTAGAAGCTTGAGCATCCAGCAAGCTTGTGTGAGTGAATTAGGAATGAATTAAGACAGAACATTTTTAATGGTTGTACTGTTAGAGTGTGAACAGGGTAACTGTTATGAAGGAATTCAGGGACACTGGTTTCCTGGACTTATATCCTGAAGGTAAGGGCAGTGCCTGCACTCTGAAGTAGGGTTGGGGATGTTACAGTTAGATGGTAATCTGGAATGATGGCACTTGAGTGAATGTGTTTTCTTCTTTGAGTCACTTTACCTTGGCCATTGGGTTAAAAAGAATGTGTTCAGATGATCATTTGGATTATGATGTTTGTGTATTTTTGGTAAGATAGCTATTAAATGACTAGGTGACTTGATTTTTTCCTTGAGTCATCCTACCTTGGGAAATGTTTTTTTTTTATATTGTTTCCCATGGAGATAAGATGATTAAAAAAAAAAAAAGGAACATGTCAACCATCATTTATTCAGTAGCTTTCTTCTCGGAAGTGCATAGACATCACAGTTCAAATGAAATGTCTGATGTTAAAAAGTGAATGCTGTATACATTTTTTACAAAACACAAATAATTATTGGCTTAAAAGGTTTGACATTATTCTAAGAGTTTCTTTATTTTAGGAGTTTGAGTGCAGTGAAGCAGGTGAAATCTCAGGGGACTGGGCACTTTACTTCCGGTCTGGAAGCCAGCTACAAGAATTCATCAATACCTTGTCTTATACCTGGAGATCTATTTTTCAGGTATTGTATTAAATCTTAACCAGTAATTAGTTTTATCTGTGATAGGATCAAATATACCTGCACAAAAAAAATTGTGGAGCAGTGACCTAAAGTGATGAGAAACTAAGCGATATCTCATAATAGTGTGAAGTGATCAAGATGAGGAGGGAAGAACAGTGTGTTAGTTTTCCCATCCTGATGGAATTTTCATTCTTCGTGCACTTGAATTATGATGTTAGTGCACTTTTGGCAAGACAGCTATTGTGTGATTTATGGTGACTGTTTTTTTTTTTTTTTTTTTCTTTGGGTCATGCTAGTGGGAAATGTCCAGAGTGGTATAAAAAAAAAGGAATTGTTTTTATATTGGTAAAAAGATTTGGTTCAAAGTCATCGTTGTCTTCTTCGACAAACTGGCTGCATCTCACCGAGGCAGGGTGGCCTAAAAAGAAAAACGAAAGTTTCTCTTTTTGTAGAGGAGAAGGGGTTACTAAACCCTTGCTCCTGGCATTTTAGTTGCCTCTTACGACATGCATGGCCTAAGGAGGAAGAATTCTGTTCCACATTCCCATGGAGATAGGTTCAAAGTCATTTGCCCATAAATATTTAATACTTTCTTTAAACAAATGCCGAAAGTGTATTTATCCACCTGTAGTTGATTACAGGGTCATCGCCCCAAGGCCCAATCTCAAGCCAGGCCTCCAGGTTGATGGCCTGATCAGTCAGGCTGTTAGTGTCAGTAGCATTCAGTTCAGTATAGGCACCAGGGATTTATCAAGTTCCCTCTTGAAGACAATTGTGGGTCTGTTGATAATTTCCCTTATATAGGAAAGAAGGGTGCTGAAAAGTTTTGGGTCCTTTACACATACAAAATTATCTCTGTTGTACTCATTGCATCCATAATTTTCTTAATGGTATTTTGCACTGTTTGTTGGGCCCTTTTAAATCTTGGGAAAATTATTTTCATGAAATTATTGCTTTTGCTCTAAGCCTGACCATGTAAGTACAGGAAGGGCTCTAAAGTAGGGGTTCCCAACTTTTCTATGCCCCACACCCCTAGGAAATGTTTGATTAATGTTGCACCCCCTGCAAAAGTAATATCGCATTTCAAGATGAAGTAAAATTTCAAATTTTTTAATCCCATATTGAACCAAATACAGTACTGCGACTCTTCGTTGCAACCCCTGAAATGCCATATTGCATCCCAGGTTGGGAACCCCTGCTCTAGAGAAACCATCTGTTGTAGTGAGTGCAAATAATTTTACTGTCTAGTAAGTTTTCTGAGGTACGTGGTTATTTTTCTAATGTATGCTCCGTATGTAGTCTGTGTGGCTGGTTGTTTCTGCTGGATGTTTCCAGAGTATGTAGTGAGCAGGGCTGTTGTTTCTGGTGGTTTTTCCCAATACTAAAATTTTACCAAACCAGTTCAGATAATACAAGGGTTTATTGTAATAGATAAATATGAAAGTATAGTAGTACCAACACTCTTATATGGGTGTGAAGCTTGGGTGGTAAATGCAGCAGCGAGGAGACGGTTGGAGGCAGTAGAGATGTCCTGTCTAAGGGCAATGTGTGGTGTAAATATTATGCAGAAAATTCGGAGTGTGGAAATTAGGAAAAGGTGTGGAGTTAATAAAAGTATTAGTCAGAGGGCAGAAGAGGGGTTGTTGAGGTAGTTTGGTCATTTAGAGAGAATGGATCAAAGTAGAATGACATGGAAAGCATATAAATCCATAGGGGAAGGAAGGCGAGGTAGGGGTCGTCATCGAAAGGATTGGAGAGAGGGGGTAAAGGAGGTTTTGTGGGCAAGGGGCTTGGACTTCCAGCAAGCGTGCGTGAGCGTGTTAGATAAGAGTGAATAGAGACGAATGGTACTTGGGACCTGACGATCTGTTGGAGTGTGAGCAGGGTAATATTTAGTGAAGGGATTCAGGGAAACTGGTTATTTTCATATAGTCGGACTTGAGTCCTGGAAATGGGAAGTACAATGCCTGCACTTTAAAGGAGGGGTTTGGGATATTGGCAGTTTGGAGGGATATGTTGTGTATCTTTATATGTATATGCTTCTAAACTGTTGTATTCTGAGCACCTCTGCAAAAACAGTGATTATGTGTGAGTGTGGTGAAAGTGTTGAATGATGATGAAAGCATTTTCTTTTTGGGGATTTTCTTTCTTTTTTGGGTCACCCTGCCTCGGTGGGAGACGGCCGACTTGTTGAAAAAAAAAAAATGGTCATTAACTTTTCCTCACCTAAGTGGGCATGAGATAACTCACGAAATCGTAATGACACGATTGCAAACAAACTGGTATGGTTTGTTTGGGATGAGATAGATAGCTATTTGAAGGCAGAGGAGCCTGGCATTTATTTGTAGCTGTAAAAGCAAAGATATGATCATGGTGTCCTGTCTTCAGTATTAAGGCTTGAATTCTTGAAGTTTCAGGTGGCTGTAGCACCTGCTATTTTTTCTTGTAATCCATTCTGTTGTTCTAATTCTGCTTGCAAGGAAAAACACTACATTACTCTTTTGGCAATTTTTCCTATATTTGTAGCCATGGCCTCCTGTTTTGCTAGTTGGTGTTCAGTCATTGCCTTATGGCAGTTTTGTCTGTGTGTATTGCAGCACTACTGTTAGACACTGACTTATCACTTAATATTTCACTGGTTCTCATGAAGTGAGTAGTTATATCATTTGAAGGAGTTAATGTTTCAGATGTTTGTTATAGTATTTGACCATTCCCTAAGAAGTGACCCACAACAGTCGACTAACACCCAGGTACCTACTTACTGCTAGGTGAACAGAGGTAACAGTTGTAGGAAGATTTGCCCAAAATGTCTCGCTCTATATTTTTTTTTTTTTTTTCATCGAACTGGCTGTGTCCTACCAAGGCAGGGTGACCTAAAAAGAAAAACTAAAGTTTCTCTTTTTAAATCTAGTAAATGCTTCTAGCATTTTAGTCACCTCTTTTGACATGTTTGACTTTCAGAGGAAAAAGTTTATTCCACTTCCTCATGGAGATAAGAGGAAATAAACAAGAACTAGTAAGAAAGAAGAAAACCCAGAGATATTAGTGTGCACTTGTGCATGCGTGTGCACATACATGCATGTGTGTGTGTGTGTGTACTCACCTAATTGTGGTTGCAGGGGTTGAGACTCAGCTCCTGACCCCCTGTGTGTGTGTGTGTGTGTGTGTGTGTGTGTTATATACATGTATACTTCCCTGGGTGGTTGCTGTCTACCAACCTACTACCATCCCATGTCAGCTATGACAGTTAGGGTGCTTGAATGGGCTTTCAATTCTGAAGCATTCTCAGACATGTGTGGACTAGGTGTAGGCGTAGAAAATGAAAGCTAGCCAATGTAATTAATAGTGGTAGTGTCCCAAAACTCATGCTTCAAGAGGTAATATTTTTAGTGATTCTTCAAAACCTATGCCGTAGTTTTGATTATTTAGAATGCTGTATCATGTGAATAGAGTTCGATGCATGTAGAGTATTAGTCATTGTGGAAGACATGATTATTAATTTATTTTTTTTCCTCAGCATGATTTTCCACTGAACACAGTAGAGAATGCTGGTGTACAACAGTTTCTTCTTGAAGGTTCTCAGATATCCAGCAATGGGTGGTCTTGTCTCCACCTGTGAAAAATTTGCTGCAGTCAAGCAAACATCAACTTGACACATCAAACCGGAAGAATTGGTGCCTCATAAATATAAAAATTATGCATGTCTAAAATGCGTAGTTAAGGTATATGTGTATTTTTGAGATGGAGATGCAAAGTGTTTTGCTAAAAGTGCAACAAAATTTAATTTCACTTGTTTAGGAAAATGGTCTGCTGCTGCTCTGAAAGCCATACACTTGAGGTCAGGATTAATATTCGATGGAGTCATGAAGATTATTACAGACCATAAATACTTTTTGTGAATAAGGTAAAACATTTTTCTCTAGTCATTTGACAATACAAAGCTTTAAGAAATTAGTTCCTTTTGTATACTTGTTAGAAAAAGTGTGTGTTTTGTAATAAAGATTTTTTAAGGAATTGACATGTATAATGTTAATATTGATCAAAATGTATATCTGCCTTATAAAAAGGTTTACTAATATACTGAATATTTGCCAGAGAATGCAATATTATCTGTTTTAGTAGTACAGCCAACCTGTCCTCATAATGCCAACATTGGTGTTTTACTTCATGTGCTTAAGGCAGTTTCTCTATGTGGTCTTTAGGTTAGGTTAGATTAATACTAATTAGCCAAATATTATCATATATTAAGACCAGTAAATAATATAAGCATAAAAGCAAGAACATACTTTGATGCACTAAGAGAAAAGAGGAAGCTATTAAGAAGACTAACAAAACACATTATTGAAATTTCGATGTTCACATTTTAGTGTCACTGTTGCTTTACCAACAATCTTGAGTTATGGTAAAATACTGATGTTAGCTAGGAGGAGGATGGGTTCGTACAGTACATGAAACTTTCATTTTTAACTTGAACTCATTCAGTAAAATTTGGATAATCTGTTTCAGAGAGGCAGACATTTAGTCTGAATGGTATGGGTAGAAAAGTCTTAAGACAAAATATACAAAATTTAAATACTTCCTCTATGAAGATTAATGTGTAACTTTCTTTTTTTTCATGATTAGATTAACATTAAGAAATTTTAATTGGCAACTACCTCTTTTTCAGTGCAGTTAGGACAGTTTATTTTTGTATATCAAATGACACTAATAGGAGTTCTTTTAATATAGCAATAACTTGTATTTTACTTGTGGTATGTCTCCTTTAATTAAGCAGATGTTCATGCTATTTTATAAGTCTGCCATATCATGTTGTTTTTGTATATTGTACACACAATTAAACAAAATCTTAGATACTGTATCAAGAATTTGATAAGTGGCATGCTAGAAATGGAAGGTAAGGAAGTGTTAATTTTTAATTAAACCAAAGATAAAAGCATATTATTTGCTTTTTCGAAATAGTATATGAATGTGTTTATATACTTTTAATATATAATGCAACCATGACAAAGGTGATAATAATAATTCCCACAGGGTTAATATTTGAACTAGAAGTTGTGCATATTTTTCACAGCTAGATAGCTGTTTAGGTGTTCATTATGTATGTGGTGGAAGTACCTAACATCCAAAGACGTTATGTTCCTGAGGTTTATTTGCAACTTAGCTGTTCAGAATTCTGAACCTGTTTCTCCTTAAAATGAAATCAAGTCAAGAAAAACATATATACCCAGTAATTTATCTTAGGTATTGTGTCTTCTTGATAGTAAATAATAGAGAATGCTTTTGCTGGGATTAAGTGACTTGTAGAAGTTTTTACTAACATGTGGGAACTGAAATGTAATATTAGTTTATGGAAGGCTATCCAACTTCGACTGGCAGTTAGAGTTAATCTTTTTATAGTTTGTGTTCTTGTTTTTATCAAATCTTTCTTTTGTATACGTATTTTTACATATAAGCGGTACGCTTTTATTTGATAGAAATTGCTCATGAGCTTAAGAATTGACAATTATGACTTAAGGTGGCTCCAGCCACCTTTCTTCCCATTCTCTATTCCACAGTATATGCCAGCCTCTCCCTCACAACCCTGCCTTCACACTCACATAGATTGTATGACTAACCTTTATATTTTTCCACACCCATGCATCATTCACCCTACCTGTCACTATCTTAAGTAATTTGCTCACTTGATTTGAGTATACGTACTGTAATGTACTTTTATTCGCTACTCTGGCTCGACATTCAAAATAATTATTTTTTTTTTTTTTAAGTCTCATGGATACTGTTCTTAAGTGCAGTACCATTGGTCATAACTTACAGAGCATGAATGAAGCAAATATCTTTAGATATTTGAGAGCAAATAAGTTGGCAGTTGGTCTGTAAAAGATGTGAATTATATAACATGTATATGGGAGCAAAAGGTAACTGGAGTGTTGAGAAATGTGTGAGATTTGAATCTCCATAAGGCATTTGACTCGTTTACCTGTCAGATGAAACTAGAGAGTATAATGAACAGGCCATAGCGATGAGTAGGAGTGTTGATGCAAACGCAAGAATGTTTCAGAAATATAGTTTAGAGATGCCAACACTTGTATGAGTGTGAGGTATGGACTATGAATGTTGTAATTAGGCTGGAGGCAATGAAGATGTATTTGAGGTCAGTGTGTAATGTAAATGTCTTTGGACAGTACTTCTAGCATTACAGACGGTGGGCTTCTTCATTGACTGGAAGTCCTTATACCAATCTCACTGCTCACTGACCTTGTGCGGAGTACACTTTGATCTTGGTGAACTTTTTTTTTTTTTTCTCCCCCCAACAAGTCGGCCGTCTCCCACCGAGGCAGGGTGACCCAAAAGGAAAGAAAATCCCCAAAAAGAAAATACTTTCATCATCATTCAACACTCACCTCACTCACACATAATCACTGTTTTTACAGAGGTGCTCAGAACACAACAGTTTAGAAGCATATACGTATAAAGATACACAACATATCCCTCCAAACTGCTAATATCCCGAACCCCTCCTTTAGAGTGCAGGCATTGTACTTCCCATTTCCAGGACTCAAGTCCGGCTATATAAAAATAACCGGTTTCCCTGAATCCCTTCACTAAATATTACCCTGCTCACACTCCAACAGATCGTCAGGTCCCAAATACCATTCATCTCCATTCACTCCTATTGAACACACTCATACACGCCTGCTGGAAGTCCAAGCCCCTCACCCACAAAACCTCCCTTGCCCCTTCCTTCCAACCTTTTCGAGGACGACCCCTACCCTGCCTTCCTTCTACAGATTTAAATGCTCTCCATGTCATTCTACTTTGATCCATTCTCTCTAAATGACCAAACCACCTCAACAAACCCTCTTCAGCCCTCTGACTAATACTTTTATTAACTCCACACCTTCTCCTAATTTCCACACTCCGAATTTTCTGCATAATATTTACACCACACATTGCCCTTTAGACAGGAAATCTCCACTGCCTCCAACCGCCTCCTCGCTGCTGCATTCACAACCTAAGCTTCACACCCAAATAAGAGTGTTGGTACTACTATACTTTCATACATTCCCTTCTTTGCCTCCATAGATAATGTTTTTTGACTCCACATATACCTCAACGCACCACTCACCTTTTTTCCCTCATCAATTCTATGATTAACCTTATCCTTCATAAATCCATTCGCCGACGCGTCGACTCCCAAGTACATGTATCTGAAAACATTCACTTCTTCCATACTCCTCCTCCCCAATTTGATATCCAATTTTTCTTTATCTAAATCATTTGATACCCTCATCACCTTACTCTTTTCTATGTTCACTTTCAACTTTCTACCTTTACACACATTCCCAAACTCATCCACTGACCTTCGCAATTTTTCTTTAGAGTTTCCCATAAGCACAGTATCATCAGCAAAAAGTAACTGTGTCAATTCCCATTTTGTATTTAATTCCCCATAATTTAATCCCACCCCTCTCCCGAACACCCTAGCATTTACTTCTTTTACAACTCCATCTATAAATATATTAAACAAACATGGTGACATTACACATCCCTGTCTAAGACCTACTTTTACCAGGAAGTAGTCTCCCTCTCTTCTACACACCCTAACCTGAGCCTCACTATCCTCATAAAAACTCTTTACAGCATTTAGTAACTTACCACCTATTCCATATACTTGCAACATCTGCCACATTGCTCCCCTATCCACTCTATCATATTTTTTTTTTTTTTTTTTTTTCAACAAGTCGGCCGTCTCCCACTGAGGCAGGGTGACCCAAAAAAAGAAAGAAAATCCCCAAAAAGAAAATATTTTCATCATCATTCAACACTTTCACCACACTCGCACATTATCACTGTTTTTGCAGAGGTGCTCAGAATACAACAGTCTAGAAGCATACACATATAAAGATACACAACATATCCCTCCAAACTGCCAATATCCCAAACCCCTCCTTTAAAGTGCAGGCATTGTACTTCCCATTTCCAGGACTCAAGTCCGACTATATGAAAATAACCGGTTTCCCTGAATCCCTTCACTAAATATTACCCTGCTCACACTCCAACAGATCGTCAGGTCCCAAGTACCATTCGTCTCCTTTCACTCCTATCTAACACGCTCACGCACGCTTGCTGGAAGTCCAAGCCCCTTGCCCACAAAACCTCCTTTACCCCCTCTCTCCAACCCTTTTGAGGACGACCCCTACCCCGCCTTCCTTCCCCTATAGATTTATATGCTTTCCATGTCATTCTACTTTGATCCATTCTCTCTAAATGACCAAACCACCTCAACAACCCCTCTTCTGCCCTCTGACTAATACTTTTATTAACTCCACACCTTCTCCTAATTTCCACACTCCGAATTTTCTGCATAATATTTACACCACACATTGCCCTTAAACAGGACATCTCCACTGCCTCCAACCGTCTCCTCGCTGCTGCATTTACCACCCAAGCTTCACACCCATATAAGAGTGTTGGTACTACTATACTTTCATACATTCCCTTCTTTGCCTCCATAGATAACGTTTTTTGACTCCACATATACCTCAACGCACCACTCACCTTTTTTCCCTCATCAATTCTATGATTAACCTTATCCTTCATAAATCCATCCGCCGACACGTCAACTCCCAAGTATCTGAAAACATTCACTTCTTCCATACTCCTCCTCCCCAATTTGATATCCAATTTTTCTTTATCTAAATCATTTGACACCCTCATCACCTTATTCTTTTCTATGTTCACTTTCAACTTTCTACCTTTACACACATTCCCAAACTCATCCACTAACCTTTGCAATTTTTCTTTAGAATCTCCCATAAGCACAGTATCATCAGCAAAAGGTAACTGTGTCAATTCCCATTTTGAATTTGATTCCCCAAAATTTAATCCCACCCCTCTCCCAAACACCCTAGCATTTACTTCCTTTACAACCCCATCTATAAATATATTAAACAACCATGGTGACATTACACATCCCTGTCTAAGACCTACTTTTACCAGGAAGTAGTCTCCCTCTCTTCTACACACCCTAACCTGAGCCTCACTATCCTCATAAAAACTCTTTACAGCATTTAATAACTTTCCACCTATTCCATATACTTGTAACATCTGCCACATTGCTCCTCTATCCACTCTATCATATGCCTTTTCTAAATCCATAAATGCAATAAAAGCTTCCCTACCTTTATCTAAATACTGTTCACATATATGCTTCAATGTAAACACTTGATCTACACATCCCCTACCCACTCTGAAACCTCCTTGCTCATCCGCAATCCTACATTCTGTCTTACCTCCAATTCTTTCAATAATAACCCTACCGTGCACTTTTCCTGGTATACTCAGTAAACTTATTCCTCTATAATTTTTACAATCTCTTTTGTCCCCCTTCCCTTTATATAAAGGGACTATACATGCTCTCTGCCAATCCCTAGGTACCTTCCCCTCTTTCATACATTTATTAAACAAAAGTACCAACCACTTCAACACTATATCCTCCCTGCTTTTAACATTTCTGTCATGATCCCATCAGTTCCAGCTGCTTTACCCCCTTTCATTCTATGTAATGCCTCACGTACCTCCCCCACACTTACATTCTGCTCTTCTTCACTCATAAAAGATGGTATGCCTCCCTGGCCAGTGCATGAAATTACCACCTCCCTTTCTTCCTCAACATTTAAAAGTTCCTCAAAATATTCTCGCCATCTACCTAATACCTCCCTCTCCCCATCTACTAACTCCCCTACTCTGTTTTTAACTGACAAATCCATACGTTCCCTAGGCTTTCTTAACTTGTTTAACTCACTCCAAAAATTTTTCTTATTTTCATTAAAATTTCTTGACAGTGCCTGTCCCACTCTTATCATCTGCTCTCCTTTTGCACTCTCTCACCACTCTC